TAACAAAAACACTTAGCTCTCCACAGCTATTAACAGTAAAATTCAGCTATCTACATAAATTAACAAAAACACAGCTCTCCACAGCTATTAGCAGTAACATTCAGCTCTCTACATAAATTAAAAAAAACACTTAGCTCTCCACAGCTATTAGCAGTAACATTCAGCTATCTACATAAATTAACCAAAAACACTAATCTCTCCACAGCTATTAGCAGTAACATTCAGCTACCTACATAAATTAACAAAAACACTTAGCTCTCCACAGCTATTAACAGTAAAATTCAGCTATCTACATAAATTAACAAAAACACAGCTCTCCACAGCTATTAGCAGTAACATTCAGCTATCTACATAAATTAACAAAAACACTTAGCTCTCCACAGCTATTAACAGTAAAATTCAGCTATCTACATAAATTAACCAAAAACACTAATCTCTCCACAGCTATTAGCAGTAACATTCAGCTACCTACATAAATTAACAAAAACACTTAGCTCTCCACAGCTATTAACAGTAAAATTCAGCTATCTACATAAATTAACAAAAACACAGCTCTCCACAGATATTAGCAGTAACATTCAGCTATCTACATAAATTAACAAAAACACTTAGCTCTCCACAGCTATTAACAGTAAAATTCAGCTATCTACATAAATTAACCAAAAACACTAATCTCTCCACAGCTATTAGCAGTAACATTCAGCTACCTACATAAATTAACAAAAACACTTAGCTCTCCACAGCTATTAACAGTAAAATTCAGCTATCTTCATAAATTAACACAAACACAAAGCTCTCCACAGCTATTAGCAGTAACATTCAGCTATCTACATAAATTAACAAAAACACTTAGCTATCCACAGCTATTAGCAGTAACATTCAGCTCTCTAAATAAATTAACCAAAAACACTAATCTCTCCACAGCTATTAGCAGTAACATTCAGCTATCTACATAAATTAACAAAAACACTTAGCTCTCCACACCTATTAGCAGTAAGATTCAGCTATCTACATAAATTAACCAAAAACACTAATCTCTCCACAGCTATTAGCAGTAACATTCAGCTCTCTACATAAATTAACAAAAACACTTAGCTCTCCACAGCTATTAGCAGTGACATTCATCTCTCTACATAAATTAACAAAAACACTTAGCTCTCCACAGCTATTAGCAGTAACATTCAGCTCTCTACATAAATTAACAAAAACACTTAGCTCTCCACAGCTATTAGCAGTGACATTCATCTCTCTACATAAATTAACAAAAACACTTAGCTCTCCACAACTATTAGCAGTAAGATTCAGCTATCTACATAAATTAACAAAAACACTTAGCTCTCCACAGCTATTAGCAGTAACATTCAGCTCTCTACACAAATTAACAAAAACACTTAGCTCTCCACAGCTATTAGCAGTAACATTCAGCTCTCTACATAAATTAACAAAAACACTTAGCTCTCCACAGCTATTAGCAGTAATATTCATCTCTCTAAATAAATTAACCAAAAACACTAATCTCTCCACAGCTATTAGCAGTAACATTCAGCTCTCTACATAAATTAACAAAAACACTTAGCTCTCCACAGCTATTAGCAGTGACATTCATCTCTCTACATAAATTAACAAAAACACTTAGCTCTCCACAGCTATTAGCAGTAACATTCAGCTCTCTACATAAATTAACAAAAACACTTAGCTCTCCACAGCTATTAGCAGTGACATTCATCTCTCTACATAAATTAACAAAAACACTTAGCTCTCCACAGCTATTAGCAGTAACATTCAGCTCTCTACATAAATTAACAAAAACACTTAGCTCTCCACAGCTATTAGCAGTAACATTCAGCTCTCTACATAAATTAACAAAAACACTTAGCTCTCCACAGCTATTAGCAGTAACATTCAGCTCTCTACATAAATTAACAAAAACACTTAGGCTCTCCATAGCTATTAGCAGTAACATTCAGCTATCTACATAAATTAATAAAAACACTTAGCTCTCCACAGCTATTAGCAGTAACATTCAGCTATCTACATAAATAAACAAAAACACTTAGCTCTCCACAGCTATTAGCAGTAACATTCATCTCTCTACATAAATTAACAAAAACACTTAGCTCTCCACAGCTATTAGCAGTAACATTCAGCTCTCTACATAAATTAACAAAAACACTTAGCTCTCCACAGCTATTAGCAGTAACATTCAGCTATCTACATAAATTAATAAAAACACTTAGCTCTCCACAGCTATTAGCAGTAACATTCAGCTATCTACATAAATTAACAAAAACACTTAGCTCTCCACAGCTATTAGCAGTAACATTCAGCTATCTACATAAATTAACAAAAACACTTAGCTCTCCACAGCTATTAGCAGTAACATTCAGCTCTCTACATAAATTAACAAAAACACTTAGCTCTCCACAGCTATTAGCAGTAACATTCAGCTCTCTACATAAATTAACAAAAACACTTAGCTCTCCACAGCTATTAGCAGTAACATTCAGCTATCTACATAAATTAACAAAAACACTTAGCTCTCCACAGCTATTAGCAGTAACATTCAGCTCTCTACATAAATTAACAAAAAAACTTAGCTCTCCCACAGCTATAAGCAGAAACATTCAGCTATCTACATAAATTAACAAAAACACTTAGCTCTCCACAGCTATTAGCAGTAACATTCAGCTCTCTACATAAATTAACAAAAACACTTAGCTCTCCACAGCTATTAGCAGTAACATTCAGCTCTCTACATAAATTAACAAAAACAGTTAGCTCTCCACAGCTATTAGCAGTAACATTCAGCTATCTACATAAATTAATAAAAACACTTAGCTCTCCACAGCTATTAGCAGTAACATTCAGCTATCTACATAAATTAACAAAAACACTTAGCTCTCCACAGCTATTAGCAGTAACATTCAGCTATCTACATAAATTAACAAAAACACTTAGCTCTCCACAGCTATTAGCAGTAACATTCAGCTCTCTACATAAATTAACAAAAACACTTAGCTCTCCACAGCTATTAGCAGTAACATTCAGCTCTCTACATAAATTAACAAAAACACTTAGCTCTCCACAGCTATTAGCAGTAACATTCAGCTATCTACATAAATTAACAAAAACACTTAGCTCTCCACAGCTATTAGCAGTAACATTCAGCTCTCTACATAAATTAACAAAAACACTTAGCTGTCCACAGCTATTAGCAGTAACATTCAGCTATCTACATAAATTAATAAAAACACTTAGCTCTCCACAGCTATTAGCAGTAACATTCAGCTATCTACATAAATTAACAAAAACACTTAGCTCTCCACAGCTATTAGCAGTAACATTCAGCTATCTACATAAATTAACAAAAACACTTAGCTCTCCACAGCTATTAGCAGTAACATTCAGCTCTCTACATAAATTAACAAAAACACTTAGCTCTCCACAGCTATTAGCAGTGACATTCATCTCTCTACATAAATTAACAAAAACACTTAGCTCTCTACAGCTATTAGCAGTAACATTCAGCTCTCTACATAAATTAACAAAAACACTTAGCTCTCCACAGCTATTAGCAGTAACATTCAGCTCTCTACATAAATTAACAAAAACACTTAGCTCTCCACAGCTATTAGCAGTAACATTCAGCTATCTACATAAATTAACAAAAACACTTAGCTCTCCACAGCTATTAGCAGTAACATTCAGCTCTCTACATAAATTAACAAAAACACTTAGCTCTCCACAGCTATTAGCAGTAACATTCAGCTCTCTACATAAATTAACAAAAACACTTAGCTCTCCACAGCTATTAGCAGTAACATTCAGCTATCTACATAAATTAATAAAAACACTTAGCTCTCCACAGCTATTAGCAGTAACATTCAGCTATCTACATAAATTAACAAAAACACTTAGCTCTCCATAGCTATTAGCAGTAACTTTCAGCTCTCTACATAAATTAACAAAAACACTTAGCTCTCCACAGCTATTAGCAGTAACATTCAGCTCTCTACATAAATTAACAAAAACACTTAGCTCTCCACAGCTATTAGCAGTAACATTCAGCTATCTACATAAATTAAAAAAAACACTTAGCTCTCCACAGCTATTAGCAGTAACATTCAGCTATCTACATAAATTAACAAAAACACTTAGCTCTCCACAGCTATTAGCAGTAACATTCAGCTATCTACATAAATTAACAAAAACACTTAGCTCTCCACAGCTATTAGCAGTAACATTCAGCTCTCTACATAAATTAACAAAAACACTTAGCTCTCCACAGCTATTAGCAGTAACATTCAGCTCTCTACATAAATTAACAAAAACACTTAGCTCTCCACAGCTATTAGCAGTAACATTCAGCTCTCTACATAAATTAACAAAAACACTTAGCTCTCCACAGCTATTAGCAGTAACATTCAGCTATCTACATAAATTAACAAAAACACTTAGCTCTCCACAGCTATTAGCAGTAACATTCAGCTATCGACATAAATTAACAAAAACACTTACGTGCTCTCCACAGCTATTAGCAGTAACATTCAGCTATCTACATAAATTAACAAAAACACTTAGCTCTCCACAGCTATTAGCAGTAACATTATATCTCTATAGCTATACATATGAGCAATAAAACTCAGCCCCCTATATATATTTACAATAATACTGAACCCTCTACGGGTATTGGCGTAATTAACGAAAATTCTTACGTTTAGCTCTACAGCCATAAGCAGTAACACTCAGCTCTACATGAATCAAAAAAACTTCTTAGCTACAGGCATTAACAAAACTTAGCTCTAGCCTATAGGGTCACTTGCTTCATCATTTCTACATGCGTTCTAATAGTTTAAACCTAATAAACAAAAGAACTATTGTGTTCAATCAGTAAAACGAACTGCCATTCTCGCCAATATTTCAGAATGAACCGAACCTGCACTGAACCCTGATCAAAGTTAGATATCAAAACACTATAATAAGATTTCTTTTCATTTTAGCGACACCGGCTCTAACAAGAGATCAGAGCGAAAAGGAGCTTAATTCTAAGTATTATAAACCAAGCGTCGATGATTTGGTAAGTCATTATAGAAAACTTAGCCGGCGCAATTACGCAGTAGTAAAGCTGTTTTATTAATTTCAGTCAAATCCATAAAATAATAAAAAGTCTGTAGTTTCCTTGACAATTATTGTTCTTTAGTCTTTTTTCTCCATGGGGAAGTACCTGTCCATACCCGACTCGCGGGGGTACGGACGGGTTATGTCGGACTCGCACCGACGAAAACACCGCAGTGTTCCACTTTCGTCGCATACTGGCAGGGTTGCGGGAACGCTTTTGCACACATCTGCGGCCCCACCAGAGCTGGCCGCCCCATAGCGTCTCTTCCTCAGGGGAGAACTACTCTTCCTCCATCTCCTTCTCAGGTAAGGCGCACCAGAACACATGGCGCACCTTCCTCTGCGGCCTCAAACTCCACCTGCGCAACGAACACACCCGTGTCCGATGCGCGAAGTCACGGGGCCGGGGAAAACTAGCACTCAGCACTAGCTATGGTTCCACTGCGGGTAAACTAATAGATGGATAGTAAACTATGACCATTTTTGTACGGACTTGGCATGTGAATAATGTGATTGTATTATTTTCGAAATCGAAAAGTTTTTTTAAATCTTTTTTGAATACCACTTCCTGCAAGTCTGCTTGAGAAACTCCTTCGGTTACCATCACTTAATATGCTCAACTATGGAATCCTACTTCTACATTGTGCGTGACTCGACACGCACTTGCTCATTTTCAATCGAGGAGGAGGTAGTCAAGTCGACTGAATGTTTTTTATGTGTGCAAACTTAGACCTTTTTTTAGTTGTTATAGCGGTCAAACCGCAAACTCATTTCATCATTATCATCATCATCATCATTAAATCCCTCAACAAGTCCACTGCCAAAAATAGGTCCTAAGCCACCTGTATTCATTGACTCCCTGCTTGTCTTACCAGGTCATCACTCCATGTAGTGGAGGACGCCCTATAATTCGTCCACTGGCATGAAGATTCCACTTGAGAACCTTTATTACCTATCGGTTGTTCTTCAAGCTATATAGTCGGCCCATTGCCACTTCAGCTTACTCTTTGGCTCCGTTTGGCTATATCAGTTACTCTAGTTCTATTGCGGGTATCCTTATTTTTAAGTCTATCACGCATAGAAGCCTCGAGCATAGCCCTCTCCATAGCTCGCTGAGTGACCTTGAGCTTCGTCGTACGGTCAGCAGTGAAGGACCACGTCTCAGATCCACAAGTCATCACTTATAGTTTGGTATTATGACTGAACTTTTGCCGTACTCGGTTTAAAAATGACATATCTAATTCTTATATTATGATGCAATCGGACGTCATATGCAATTATCGTCCACTTCTTTTTATCAGCCCTTAAATTTCTGTTTGTCAAGGATTTGCCTTAATCGTAATTCTATTTAGGCTAATTGATGACCGCAGTGGGTCGTTACTTTGACAATATTTCGGATTGTTGTTCTGGTTATTTTACGTCTGGCGTTAACAACGTTTGAAGCCATGAGACCTTTCTGAAAAGTAGTTACGTTGTACCAGTTCTGGCTTACTGAGTCAGAAGTGGTACAACGTTCGTCGAATCACGGTCCTAAAAAATAAGAAAGGTTTTGGCATGTTCTTATCACGAATCTGCGGTCCGTTTTTGCGTAGGATGCACGGTTCCGGAGATGTGCAGATCAATTAACCAATATCTAATTGATATCCGGTGAGGGCCTCCACCGTCATTAGCGTCCCATTGTTCTTATCTATTGTCATTGTCTATACTTCCTCGGTGTGTGCGTCGGATTATCAGTGCTATTGTATTATACTTCTTTGTTCCTATCTACAACGCTAATCTGAATCATCAATAAAACAAATTACCTAATTTTGTTACAATTTTTATTTACAAAATACAAAATCTTATAAATATTATCTATAAAGTAGGAGCGAAACATCTCATCCACTAAAATATCTTTGTACAATGTGTTCCCTGTATATGTACTCGTAAAACTATGCATTGAACATCCCTGTACCTTATATAGCAAATACATTAAGCAATATTCGCCAGAAACTGAAGTCTACTCATTCTGAATCCTATCAACATTCCAGTTCCATCTTTTACAATTCCTTTTTAAAATCTCTAGATGATATCGTACAGGTGATCGTCCATATGAATCAAAATATTGACCGACTTTATTCGTATTGATATATAAAGCTACCCAATGTGACCCTGGTTTATCATCTGTATCCAAATTGCATATTATATATGTTGGTACGTGGGTATACATGGGCAGTCTATTAGCAGCATAAACATTATTTTCTAGACTGGGGTGAATCTTTTTTAGATGTTGTTGTACATCTAGTGTATCCAGCCCCGGATCTAGGGGGAGGGGGGCAAGCCGGGGCCTATGCCCCGGGCGGTAAGTTCAGAGGGCGGCCAAATTCACACTTTACAGACGAATGGACAACTCGTCCTTTACTTAACTTTGAGCACAGAATAAATAATAGTACGAGTACAGAAATTTCACTCTTGTTTTACTGCGGCAATATCAACTCGACCGATACCCAGGGACACAGCACACGGACCATGTGATCGGGCGCGACGAGAGCGCGGAGTGAGACGCGCTCCACGAACATTATTAGTAGGCATAGTTCAAAATTCGGGCCCGCTCGCCCGGAGGAATCGCAGATCGCGGCAGCACGCGTCTGGTTACCGTGCGTGCGAAAGGGATGAAGCTATATTCGAAAACTCCCTCGTCGATCTCTCTCAGTGTTTTGTATTAAACATTTGTTTATGTTTATTATTTACTAAAATTTAGTACTTGTCGATCAACCGAAGGGAAAATACTGATTGTATTAGTGTCGCATCAATAAATCTATCACAGCTCATCGATCGCCTTTCTAGGTAAGTATTTTATCATAACTATCTTATGCTTTTTAACTTCCTATATTTATTTTTTAAATTCAATGTAATACGTGCAATCACTTACGTCGTCAATTCGTTGTTATTTAAACTATTTCTTAAAATTTTTACGTCGTGTTTTGTTTATTACACGATGGCAGCCATCGGATGACTGAGAAGTAAAACAGCCTTTTTATTCCAGCTATTAATTCAATACAATGCAATGCAGCAGTTTAAAACGAATAAGCAGCCGTTATTATATATTATATCGACGGCGCGTAGGTACCTATTAGTGATGGATTAATTAGCATTAGCATTCATTATTAGCATGCGAATGCTCATTTAGCATTTAACAAATGAAATGTAGTTGCGAAATTCTGTGAAGTGCGAAGTGAATTAATCGTTTCGTACTTCGTTCATAGTTCATACTACACGCGGCACTCAGCGAGACAGCGGCAGCATGCGCTCTCCGTCGCACCCACAGGAATACTAAATCTATCTGTTTCACGTGACCCTGACTTTTAGCAGGTGCATTTGATGCGAAGAATAAGGTTAGGCAATTATTATCTTATTATCTTTGATTTGCTCGTACTTAGGGTCGTATATTGTATGAATGCGTGTGATCGTTTAATTCGTTAAAGTTATTAGCAGGGTGATGCGAAGTATGGGATTGAGTAAATTATTACCTTATTATCTTTGGTTTGCTAGTATTTAAAGTCGTATATTGAATAAATGCGTGTGATTATTTAATAATAATTTGTGTGACACGTGGGTGGCGCGCGTCGTATTGTATAAAATGTTGAATAAATTTGTAAATAATGTACATTATATGTAAAAACTAAATCATGTAAATACGATCAAGTGAACTTATAAATACGCCAGTTTATAACATTTTACTGCTAGTTCTAAGCCTGGATAAAGTATGAATGAAGGTTCACAAAAACTTAAACATCAAAAGGTTTTAAATTAGTTAAATATCTTTAATTATAATAATATGATCATTCATTATCTTAATCACAACACAATGCAAGTGTACTAGTAGAAATAAAACGTTATCGGCGAGGAAACTAAACGCACGGTAGGACTCGACGTCCTCCTTCCTTCATAAGCCGAACGCGCTCTTAATTCGTATAATAACAAAATTCATATAATTATTTAGGTAATATCAATTATAGTTATATTAGCAAATAGCATAGCAATAGCAATTAGCACGCTAAGGCTCAAGAATTCGCATGCTAATGAAATTTATGCAAAATCGCATTAATTACCATTACTAGTACCTATAACTCGGGTGGTTGCCACGCGATCGCGCGCGCTCCGCGATATCATTACGCCGCTCGTAAATTGTAGTGTAACGCTCCAACAAACCAAAAAACCGACAAAAATCGGGGAACGACTCGCGAAACAGGCGCGAAGCCGCGAAGAATACGCGAAATGGTTCTACACTCACGGTTTGCGGGTGGTTCGCGGCTGTCGCGCGGAATGGCTACAAAACAAGTATTTTTCCGTCCGTCTGTCCGTTACAGCCTGTTATAGTTCACTGCTGAACATAGGTGCCTCCCCCATAGATTACCTCATAGAGGGGATATTTGCCATAGTTGCCACCCTTGGAAATTGATTATTTTTGTTTACAGGTTGTAATTATGAGCGCGCCAAGAAAAAAGCTATCGGGAGCGGAATATAGGAAAAGGGCTAAATATAAGGAGTTGCAGGGAAAACAATGTGCAGATAATATGAAAAATTGGCTTCTCAGAGGGGGTGACCCGTCAGTATCTGCTGCAACGTCCGAAGTTGATATTCAGTTAGAGGATGTTTCTCGCACTTTGCCCGATCAAACGGATCAAGATTTTTCACAGTCCGATTTCACAGTGCAAACTTCACCATCTTTATCGATGTGCGGAGAACAACTTGAAAAAACAAAGCCAGAATACGAAGGATCTAAATCCCCGCACTCGGATTCGGATGAACTGCAAAAAACTGGATTTGATTTGACTGACCCAGGCAATTGGCCAGGGGTGGAAAAAATGACCGACCAACAACGGTCTTTCTTTAGCAATCAGGCTGTATTATTAGCAGAAAATCACCCCGAAAACATTGAATTTAGATCTACTGAACGCAATGGCAGACATTTAACAGCTTCTATGTGGTACAGGACGTTGGCTAATTGCGAAAGAGTTAAAAGATCTTGGCTTATATATTCTAAGACAAAAAATGCAATATTTTGTGCGTGCTGCAAGATTTACCAGAAACCGTCTTTTACCGCCACATCTGCATTGTGTTCTACAGGATTTATTAATTGGAAAAAAGTTTCAGAGAGATTAACCGAACACGAAGCAAGTCAAATGCATAAAGAGTGTATGATCAAGTGGAAAACACGGGTACAACAAATGAAATCATGCCAGGGTATTGATCAAGACATTGAGAGAGTAATTCACTCAGAGAAAGAAAAATGGAGACAGATCCTGCGTATTGTTATGGATGCTGTATTGTATCTATCCATAAACTGCCTTTCTTTTCGCGGGTCCCACGAAACTCCTAGCGATCTCATCACACAGTGTCCTCGGCCTAGTCAAGGTAACTTCTTGAACTTAATTTCTCTGCTCGCCAAACATAATTCAACTCTTAAGTTTCAATTAGAACACTTAAAAAAGGGACAAATATCATATTTATCAAAGACAATACAGAATGAAATAATTGACATAATGGCAAAAACAGTTAAAAATAGCATTTTAAATGACATCAAAGAAGCCAAATACTACACGATAATGTTCGACTGCACTCCAGATGTATCCCATACAGAACAAATGAGCCAGGTAATTCGATATGTAAAAAGAACTGGCGATGTGTGTGAAATAAAAGAAAGTTTCATTGATTTCATAGAAGTTGCTGGAAAGACAGGAGAGGGCATTTGTCAACAGATTTTAGAAAAATTGGTAGCTGATGATTTAGATATTGGACAATGTCGTGGCCAATCTTATGATAATGGGTCCAATATGGCCGGCATCCATAAAGGAGTACAAGCCAGGATTGCAGAAAGGAATGAGCTGGCCGAATTCGTACCGTGCTTGGCTCACTCCCTAAATCTTGTAGGTGTTCATTCTGCCTCATCATGCCAGGAAGCTATTAACCTATTTGGACTGATTCAAAAAGTATATTGCTTTTTTGTTGGCTCCACTACTAGGTGGGACATTATGAAAAAAATACGTTAAAACAAATTTAAAAGGAAGTAGTCAGACGAGATGGTCGGCGAAACATGTTGCTGTGAATGGCCTATTAAATAATTTGCCAGAAATAGCGGAAGCCTTAGAAGAAGTTAAGCAAGCTTCTCATGCTCCAGAAGCTAAGTACGAAGCAGGTCATCTCTTAACTGCTATAAAGAATTTTAAATTTATTCTTAATTTAACTATTTGGGCGAATATTCTCCGCGAAATCAATCGAGTGAATATAGAAATTCAGAAAGAAGATATTATCCTTGCCCGTTCCGTCGCACTAATGGATGGTTTGCTCAAAACTTTGCAAAAAATGAGACAAAATCCAATGGAATATTGGATAAAAGAGGCTGGAGAAGTTGCTGAAAAAAGTGGTGTTGACCCTATATTGCAAAACAAACGAATTCCGAAACGTAAAAAACATTTTGATGAGATGTGTGAAGACGAATTACAAACACTGCAACCTGTTCAACTACTTTCTAATGAAATAATGATGGTATTTGATCGAATCATATCAGAAATTAAAAAGAGGTTTGATTGTGCTACCATGCTGAATTTGAATTTTGCTTTTCTTAATGGTACTAATATTTTGAGAATGTCAATTGAAGAATTGCAAAAGTATGGAGCAGATTTGGCTCGAAAATACGAGCGAGATTTAAGCTCCGTTGAATTCTGCCAGGAACTCTACGTTTTAAAAGAGCAAGCTCCGCTTTTATTTGGTGATATAGAAAAGGCTAACAGTTTCTATCTCTTGCAACAGATCTATGCGCATGATTTGCAGGATGCTTTTCCTAATATTTGTATTGCCCTGCGAATTTACTCTACGCTTCCTACTACATCCGCAAGCTGTGAGCGAAGTTTTAGCAAACTAAAACTAATTAAAAATTATTTGCGATCTTCTATGAGCCAGGAACGCTTATCAAGTCTTGCAATCTTAGCCATAGAAAATCAAATTGCCCACGAGTTAAATTATGACAAGGCCATAGATTTATTTGCTGAACAAAAAGCTCGAAGAGTAAAATTGTAATTTTAATTAACAAATGCAATAATATATTTGATTTTTATTTTTATTATACATATTTTTATTTTAAATCCTATCATGTGCTGTGTATAAAATACATATCCTACATGTTCATGTCTATATATCTGTAAATAAATAGACTTAACACAGAAAGAACAGCGATGGATGAATTATTTCCGGAAGGCCTATGTCCAAACGTCAATCAATTAGTGGACACTTGATAGCTGAAATTATAAGGATGATAAAGGTAAAAATAAATATAAGTGAACGGGGCGGCATTTTTCAGTTTTTGCCCCGCCTAAAAATAATTGAAGATCCGGGGCTGAGTGTATCCATGATATTACTGCTATTAGTAGATTATTACAGTACAAATCTACTCAATTACTAACGTAGGAATGATCAATTATAGTGATTTCTAAATATTAAATCGCATTTCTTTTGTGATATACAAATCGTATTTGAGTCATCGATACATTGAACAAGACGCAACACGAAGGAATGTTGAGATATGCAACAGAATGTGAGATAAGCTTGTTGACGCATAAAGTTACTATCAGTTTCACTGCAGAAATTCTTTAGATTAGAATTATTACTTACTGGTGCTATATAAGACCGAGCAGCTATAGTCATGGAGTTAGTGTATGGTCGTTTGACCGCAGTGGATCTATCAATACTATATTTGCGTTACTTCAACGCATCAAAGGCCATGGATGTAAGTGTTTATTCTATTGACAAACTTACTTTTCTTTTTGTTATTTTCTTACGTGTGTATGATTTAGTGTTAACAAATTATATTTAAATATTGTGTGTGTATGTGATTAATCCGTGGTAGCTCAGATTGTTAGCGCAAGCTGTAAATTTCACAGTACGCGACCTGGGTTCGATCCTCACCGGCACCAATTAAGTTGTTAATTGCAATTTTAAGTGTTGATTTACCACGTGCTCGGCGGTGAAGGAAAACATCGTGAGGAAACCTGTATGTCTGAGAAAATTTCGAAGGCATGTGAAGTTCGCCAACACGCATTGAGGCAGCGCGGCGGATATTTCCTAGCCATAAATATAAAGACAATAGCAGAAAGTGAAAAAGTTAAAAAAATACTTTTTTAACAATGACAGTCATTAGTTGATCATTAGTGAATGTGATTCTGTTTACTTAAATTACAGGAAGACAAGAGCAGAAGGAAGAAATGGGATGATGGGAAGTAATGAAGCATTGTTATGTGAAGTTTGTTGGAACAAACATATTTTTAGTCACGTGTAAATACTTTTAACTTTTTGGTTCAAAATGACACAAAATCTAAAAAAATATTAGATACATCATCGACATGGATGGATTTTACATTACATATCCTCATAAACATTTTCAATGTAGAGAAATGGCTATTCTAGACGTAAACCTATCTAATAAAAATTATGCATTTATCGATTATTACTTGTTTCGCCCAAGTTATCCTTTCAATTATTTGTCGCCAAAAGACAAAAAAACTGTTCATTATTGCGAAACACACGTGCACGGCATTCCATATTTTGACGTAACGGAAGAATTAAAATGTGCCTACAAACAAGAGAGCATCATTTCCATATGAAATTGGTACATAAGAAATTTGTGCAAAGACGAAGTGATCGCATACAAAGGTGGTTCAGCAGAAAAACAATTTTTAAAAATGTTGACGACGAATGATAGAATTTTTAATATTGAAGAATACAAATATCCAAAATACAATGATTTGGTAAATGTCATAAATTTAAACAAACGTTATGTGTGTAATAATCATATATTTGCCAAAAATAATCACAAAATTTTACATTGGTCTTGTGATGAAGTGTGAGTTTTTTTACAAGTGGTTATTGCTTGAAAATAATATTTTAAAAAAATCATAAATTTTGTTTGATTTCTCAAAAATATTAGTTATAGTACACAATATATATTAGTTGTTTACACCAACACTTTAATTTTTTATTTCACCCCTTAGAACTTTAGACGTGTGTAATGTTTCACTTTATACATCCGTTTACTGCTATTGTGGCAGGACCAAGTGGATGTGGGAAGTCAAATTTTGTAACAAATTTCATAAAATCAGTTACAGAAATATGTAATCGTGATTTTAATCAGATCACAAGGTGCTTTGATGAAAAGCAAACTTTATATTATAATTTACCAAATGTTAACTATCATCAAGGAATTTCAAATCTTAATATGTTTGATGGTGAAAACTCACATCTTGTTATTATTGATGATCTAATAAGAGAGTCCGATGGAAGAATTGTGGATATATTCACAAAAGGTAGTCATCACAGGAATCTCAGTGTATTAAATTTAACACAAAATTTATTTCATCAGGGTAAAGGGCAAAAAGACATATCTTTAATATATTTTAAAAACCCTCGAGATGAAACTCAAATAAGATATTTAACACGACAAGTGTCACCATACAACCCAAAATTCATTAAAGATGCCTACAGGGATGCAACTCTAGAGGCGCATGGATATTTAATGGTAGATTTAAAACAGAATGATTTTTGAACCAATGATTTTTGTCGTATCAAGACAAGTCTTCCCATTTAATGGTTTCTGTACAGTCTACGTCCCCACAAAACAGTTTAAATACACCAAGAATAAAACAATCCAAATCATTTCTAAATGATGCATCGTTGACTCACAACGCATAAACATTTGCTAAACGCTTTGCATACGCTTTAACCAAAATATCAAAGAGCATTACTTAAAACGTGTGATAAAGAATAAATTAACTGTATTTGTGAGTGTATTCATAACGTTTTACAAGGAAAAGTACCTCTCAAAGATCAAGATAAACAAAAATTGAATAAACACAAAAATATACTCCGTAAACTAGTGCGTAAGTGTAAACATAATCTAAGAAAAAAATATAATAATACAAAAAGGAGGAGCTTTCTTACCAATAATATTAGGTGGAATATTGAGTGGATTTGTGAGTGGACTAGCCAGTTAACATGGAAAATGCAAAGAAAATGATACTTATCAAACCTGGATTGATTGAAAAATTAAAACAAGAAAATAAGGTTAATAGTAATTTATCTTGATTAGATATTGAAATGCAAAATATTATGAACAGTAAGACGGAAGACCGAAAGAAATGGATGTTATAATTACAAACACTGCAAGGATACCTTCATTTTACCGAAGTGGATCGTCAACCACTCAGATTACCAATTT